ATTTGATTATTTTTATTGCTGTTCAGCAGATATAGGTTGCAGAAAGACACAAAAGCAGAAAAATCCAGTAATGTGATTTAAGATATACAGCATTACTTTGTGTTTGCCGTGGGCTAAGAGCATACACAACAGCAGTTATCACAGATCCTCAGGCACGTGGTGACTTGTGAGGCTGTGGTAGCTGGAGCGGGTGTCTGAGACCCTTAGAATCCAAAACTTGGTCTGCAACTTTTTCAAGCAAATGCATGACACCTTGCGGTTTGCAACCCCAGAGAACACTGCAGCAAATACGTTTCTAAGTAGAGTACAGCTATTTGTTACTCATACTCACTTGCCTTTTCAGATATTCTGTTTCCTGTGCCATTTGGACACATTTCTAGCTGGATACGTTTCTTTCTCTCTCTCATTTTTGAAATTCTGTCCAATGCCAAAAGTTTATTAGAGAATTAAATTCTTCTTCTTTTTTTTTTTTTTTCTCTCTTCGTCTCTCTCTCTCTGTGTTTGCCTGACAGCGTTTTCCAACAGAGGATCATCTGATGATTCACAGGCACAAACATGAAATGACTTTGAAGTTTCCTTCAATAAAAACAGATAATATGTTATCAGGTAAGAAGACACGAATTCAAGAGTCAAGATAACTATTCAGATGATGTTGAAAGCATGACTCCTACTGGAAAGCTACTGGCAAAATACCTCCAAGATTGGTTTTAAAAAGCCCCATCTCCAATTAAATAACAAGTAGAGATGCAATAAACTAGAATGAATATCTTTGAATAAAAAGACAGTTGCCATTCTTATGCCTTCCCACAGGTTTGGCATGAGAGGGGGAGAAATTGTTGAACCTCAGCCATGCTGGCAGCTCTATTGCTGACTTCCGTGTCAACATGCCAGTGAAATATAGGCACTTAAGTGCATGTCACCTGGAGCCCAGCAGTGAGCGTGTTAATGAAGTGCATTTGTACTGTTCCTATAAGACTCACTATTTAAGTCTGACAGGCTCACTTCGGCAGCTGTAACAGGCCACATCGTGTGAGCCACCTTTATGGTGGCTCAAGACCTGCCCGCTGTAAATAGCCGTAACTGGAAACGTAAACCAGTAGGTAATATCCAGTACTATTTCCCCCTAAAGGTAACTATCTCTCTCTGTGCTTCCCCTGTCATACACAGAGGTTATGTGGTATTATGTGCAATTACATCCTTTAGCTTCTTATGTAGTTTTTTCATACTCTTGTCTGAGTAATCACACATCGGTGGCTTGCTGGCATTCAGTGAGCGCTGGGTAAGGTCAAGCTAGCCTTAAACTTACCACTTCTCTCCTCTCCTATTCCCTTTCCTGTTGTATGTTGCTTGGGCTATAGTAATGGAATATTAAGAATAATATCACTAGGAGTTTTCAGGTTTCAGAGTAATTGTAGAAAAAAAACTATGCTGCAAATGTGTATGAGGATGTTAACCAGTGTTTGATATTTATCTTTTGAAATGGGCTCCTTCAAGGTAAATTGTGCCATTTTAGGTGCAAATGTATCATGATTAAAGGGTGTCCAGCAGCCTACCTCTTTTATGGATAAACCATTTCCATTTTTAAGAAAATCATAACTGGGTAGCAATTGCTTGCAAATATTTGATTTAGGCTTCTTTTTTTTGTTTGTTTGTTCGTTTTGTGTTTTTGTTGTTTGGGTTTTTTGGGGTTTTTTGTTGGGACTTTAAGCACCAGTGAAAAATTGGACAGACCTTGTCCCAGATAGAATTTATTTTCCTCTTACACTTGAAAATGCTGTAGTGGACTAAGTTTAGAAAGGAACAGTCCACAGCACGTTGAAGAGTAGGGCTTGTAAAGTGCCTGCATGCCAGCTATGCCCGCAGAATCCTGTGTCTGCAAGCACGAGTGAGAAAATGCTGCTCTTGCACTTGGCTGCGTCCTCTGGCAGTGAAACTGCTCGAAGACATCTGTACTGTGGGCACATTCACCCTGTGAAAGTGCTGGCTTTTGTTAGAACTTTCTGTTTGGCAAGACTTTTGCTCGAGGGCAGTTTCTGAGGAGTATATTCTGTCATCAGGAGTCCCCTGAGTAGGGCAGCTCCACTCATGTTTGGTAACTTCTATGAGATAGCTGTCCTTCCAGTGGGTTGCTTTCCAAGGCTTCCACCACTACCACCAGTCGTGGGGCCCCTAGACCTCCAGGGAGCCAACTAAGTAAATAGAAATGCAGAATTTTGTGGCCAGAAAGGCTCCAAGATTGCTTCCAAAGGATGTATTCTTTGTGCTTTGTGTATGATGATCCTCTGTAGTAATGGAAGAGTAAAAAGCTGCATGTGTTCTCAAAGACTGCGGCAAATGTTCCTGACCATAATGGCCTGGCAATCTGTTGCTGCTGTGTATGATTTTTCTTTTTGTGTTCATTTAGTGGATTTGTTTGGCATTTTGCAGTCCGTAGTTTGGAAGCATCATAGATCATCTACTCTCTGCAGGGAGACATTGAAAAATAGTTGTTTCATTACCCACCTAAACCCTGGGGAGATCTAAATACCTTAAAGTTTAAGATGTTTTATTCCTAGATTTCATAATGAAAAATTAATGATATATGGGGAAGAGAGACAGATTTTCCTTTTAGACATTTGTCTTCATGTCTTCCTTCTTGTTTTTTGCATTTTTGCTTATTTGACTTTTTTTTTTTTTGAAAAAATTGTTTCTGTTATTAGTAGGTTCAAAGAATTGCAGCAGCAATTGCCCTATAATAAGCCAGGTGCAGTGTTAGTGTGTGGTGTGGGTTGGGTTTTTTTTTTTTCCCTCTTTTTACTAAGGTGCCTAGAAGTCAGACTTTCTCCTTTTTTCCAGTGTGTTGTATACTACCTTTTGATGTGTTGTATTTGAATCTGTTTGTTATTAATAATTAGTCACACAAAATAATGGTCTGTACGCTCTCAGGTAGCCATTAGAATTATCTACTTTGTTTCCAGAGACAGCTAATACCCAGCCTGGGGTCAGTATAATATCAGTAATATCTAACACACACAAAGCATGTCTTCTATAAACTATTATTGGAGGTAGGCACTAAAACTGAGGGGCTGTTGGTCTTGTACCGATACAACATCTTAGAAACTAAGTGAAGTATGACTTGGGAAGCAGGAACTTGTTTCTTGTGTGAAATATGTGCTGAGTTCTGAAATATCAATTTGTAAGTGAGACGTAAAGTTATGTTGTTATGTAGGTGGGTAATAAACAAGGTTCTGTGACCTGATTGAAATTACTGGTGCTATGCTGGTTTATCAGGTATGTCTAGCCAAGAGCTTCCTGATTATCAACTAGCTTCACTATATTTGCTTAAATTTTTTGATGCTGGCTGAAGAAGAATAAGTCTTGTTAAATCCAGTAACTCCTGAACTAATTCAGAAACTCCAGGTACATTCATACACTAAATAACTTTATGTTCTTTGACTGTATAAATGGAAGGGAAGTTCAGTAAAGGCATTGCGTGAAAATGCAACTGATCCTTTTGCTGGGTAATTTGACGTTCATTTAGAAAGACAGAAAGATGACTGTAATGTTATTTGTTCCCTTTTTTTGTATGTATTTTATTTTTGTTTGTTAGAAAGCTTTGTTTTGAGTATGGATAGAGAGTCATTGATGGTTTCCATTTCCATCTTTTGTAGCCAAAAAAGAGCTGTTTGAGATAACACAGAATATCTTGTGTAAGTTTTGCATGCTAGTCATCATTGCAGGAAACTTTTGTAGTTAGGTTGACTGAAATAGATGTCATCTCTGCTGTTGTGCTAACTAAACATTGCATTGCTTTGAAACTCTGTAGTTTGTTGTGTGTCAAAGCTGTTGTTGTTTTAACACCGAAATATTAATGTCCATGGACAGATTGTTCCCTCCAGGTAAGTACTAAAAGTGGTGTGGAACTGAACTTTGGGAGCTGGGGACGCTGATTCCTGTGGTATCAAATTTGGGAAGGGAAGGAAAGGAGCGACGCCTTACCATTGTTGGAGCAGGGGGAAGTCCTTCCAAAAGTGCTGCTAGCAGATACAGGAGACACCAGGATTATCTATGTAGAAACCTTGTTTCTTCCTGATTCTATTTACTGAAATGCAATCCTCTGGATTTTTGGTGGTAAAGCCCACTGTGGAGATAGAAATAGTCTCCACTAGATGAAAAAGGGTCTGTGCTAAAGGTAGTGCAAATGTATTACTTTTCCCAGGTAACGCCTGTGTCAGTGAGGTAACTTATGGCATCCTCAGTTGGCTTAATTTTTTTCTTCTTGTGGTTTACCCAGGGAGGTTTATCTAGGCATGAATTTTGTGGAGTGCAAAATGATTGGATATAAGGAAAAATGATTTTGTTTGATTTCTTGTTCGCTTCTGTGTCCCTTGCTTTACCAAATGAAATGAAAAGTCTTCTAAAATTCAACTGGTCAGGTTCTGAGTGACCAGAAGAGATTAAAGATGTGTTGTACCCAGTATGTGTATACCCACAGAATGTCCAACCAGTGCTTTAAACAGTGAATCTTTAAGGAGTAGCGTTCATGGGAGCCCTCATCTGTGAGCCCCTGGGTGAGGGCAGTTCCACCAGGTACAACTGGGTGCACCTCTTCCTCCTCTTCTCTTCCATCACCTGCTTGAGGTGTCGTGACCTTGAGCTTCTTGATGCACTTGGGAGGTAACCTGCCAAATCAAATGAAGAAGCCTTCTTGAATTTCTCAGGACATTCCTCTTTCCTGTGGCTGCTTGATGGGCAGCCCTTCAAATTTCAGTGCTAGCCCTATTACTCTGACTTTGTTATCATTGTGTGAAAGTATAACATGGGTAAGTATATAACTTCAACAGAGCCCACAGCTGAACAAGCCAAATGCCTGTTATTACTGCACATCAGACTAAACGTGTTTTTTTTTTTTAAAGAAAGATGAAGAATCAAGTTACACACTTTGGAGCTGTGCTATTAGATATCTCTTACGGAATCTGATTCCCCCCTCTACCCCCCACAAATGAAAGCTTGTTTCACATAACTGGAGTCTGTTGGTTCTCCAGTTTTTTCTTAACTGGTATCATGCTTTAAAGTTTTCATTCATGCTTTGAGGGATGAAACTCTAGCATCCAAGGTAGTTTTACAAAATGCATTCAGATAAACTCTCTGTATAGCAAGCTAATGTGGCATTTCCTGGGCTGTTGTTTTGAAAGCAATATATTGAGAATGAGTGTCCTTTCTGAGACTATTACTTCAGTAATTACAAAAAAAACCCAAAACCAAACATCACCACCACCACCAAAAATTTGCATAATGAATATATAATGGGATGTCTTTATTGAAGACTTCAAACTTCCCATTGCCTTATAGCATATATTTTTCCATTAGTCTGGAGAGTCAGGTATCACTTCAGACACTGGAGACAAGTTTTCAAAATGGTCAGCAGCAAAAATATATTCAGTATATCAGGTTCTGGTCAGAATCTGTTTGCTGAGTGTTTCTGAAATCCTGTCCTGTAAGATACAGTAGGTTGACTTGGGATCTGCATAGGTGAGACCATTTGGTCTTCCTCTGGGGTTTTTATGTTGTCCACTTACATTTTTGAGGTTTATTTAAACTTAATGTTTCTTGCAGCCTTTCTGGCCATGACTATGTCATCAGAGAGGCTGTTTATTCACCTGAGTAATAGGGTGCATGAAATATTTATTGCCTAGTTTGAAGCTTGACAGGTTCTGTGTTCAACCTGGTGGTGAAGGCAAGATAGAAATAACTTCCTAAGTAATTGTCAGATGACACAGGTTCACTTGTGAAGTGACAGCTGGCTAGAGGTAGATGCCTCAAAGCATAGTAAACTATTTCTGGTAGCAGTTGGGGATGGAAAGATTTTTAGATGCTGAACAATGGTATGCGATTGGGATGGCTGGTCAGTACAATAGCCAGATGCCTAGGGTTAACCCAGACAGACCTGTATCCCAAGCTGCCCAGTTGAAAATGCAGCTTGGGCCATTAAAGTCCTGGGTCGTGTGCCTAACAGCATGCATGCTGACAGCTTCCTACAGTAACGCATGTCCTCAGCCGGAATGCTC